TTTTGATATTTTAAATCATTTTCAAAGAATTTGATATGGATTCCTGTTTTACCAAAAGATATAAAGATTTACATCAGTTTTCACTTGATTCTACACAAACTGTCATGTTATTTTGGAATCATAATCAACATAGAACTTGAACACAAATTGTTTAAGGAATTACATTTAATCTCATCTTCTTGCTTTTGGAAACTTTTTGTAGATATATTTCAGTCTTATATTGCCACATGATGTTCTATGCAGAAGCTTGCATTTTATTAAACACACTGCTTACTAAACATGTTTGTCTCATTTTTCCTTGTGTTAAACATTAATCAGGTGACTCAGGGTGAGAGATGAAATCAATGATGGATTCCAGATAGTTCTGGGAACCATAAATGTATTGGTATAGTTTGAGAAGTTTTAGAGTTTAGAATTTCTGCATGGATCCTCTGCATATTTAATGTCTACTGGACTGCTTGTGTTGATTAAACCAAATAAGAAGAATATAAATTGAAAATGCACTATATCATTGTTAGTGACAAAAAAATGTTAGCAGCTGGAAAATAACTGGAATGGATCACTTATATCTGGTACAGCAGTGGTGGCATCTTCTACTCCAACTCAGTAAAAGGTCAGTTCACCATCTCCAATTTTTAAAAAATATTTTTTTAGCAAACTGAATGTGTCTGACATATCACTTAGTGGAAGTTAAAACCCATTATTTATATAAAATTATGTTTTAAGTCAATGTCACCTTGAATGTTACATTTAAATATAGTTTCAATTTTCTGAATCAGAAATTCATTCATTTTCAATTTTGACTTTCGTTCACTTTAAATGTAAACAGGAGACAGAAACTATATTTCTGTTGTAGGTCTTTTTCTGCAATGTTTTTACAAAAGAGCAAAATAAGGTTGACAAAGTTTCCAAAGATGTAAAATGAACTGAAAGTTCCTCCTTTGGTGGTTTGATATCATCTGTTCATCTTCTGAGGGGTTTTTGTTCGGCTCTGCAGCTGGTTTGTGTCACTGTGAGTCTCTGGCACAGTAATACACAGCAGAGTCTCCAGGCTGCATATTCTGTCCATTCAGAGTCACTGTTTTACTGGAAGTGTCTAAGTCGATACTGAATTTGTTCCTCAGTGAATCTTTGTAGTTAGAGCCTCCAGTATATCTATACCCAATCCACTCCAGTCCTTTCCCAGCAGGTTGTCTGATCCAGTGTGTTGCATAGCTCAGAGAATAAGAGACCTGGCATCTGATGGTCAGACGTTGACCTGGCTGCAGAGTCTCAGAGGCTGGTTGTGTCAGCTGTTCACACTTTATACCTGTAGAGAAACACATTAAAAGTGTATCGTTACCAACAACTAATTCACTTTACTGTCATCATGCTGTAAATGTTTCTGTCTCAGTGAGACTCACAGGATGCAGCAGCCAGCAGCAGCAGCAGAGCTACAGAGAACATGATGATGATGATGATGATCTGATGGGAGTTTCTCCTCCTCTGCAGCTGACAGCATCAGATCAAGACTTTATAACATGATTCTTTTCATTTGCATAATACCAAACCAGCCCCACAAGAATCACACGATCAAAAAACTTTTTATGTGCTGTGGACCAGCATTAAGAAATAGTAAGTTTGAAATTATATTGTCCTTAAATTAATTATGTGTTTTCATTATTTGAAACTGAGAATTAATGTGTAGTTTAAATATATAAATATCCTGAGCAAATTAAGTCTTTAAATAACGTGTTTTAATGTTATGGTTGATTCATTATTTTGTCAGAGTGGAACGATCATAATCAATAATTATTTTAAGATACTGATTGTTTATGTTTGAATTCATTGTGCGTTTTTTTTATCTACGCATCATCAAAACTCAAAATTCTGCAAACAGACTGAAACATTTACATTCACTGTTAGCAGTTATTCAGTAATATTTCACTGAGAAGAATACCAATTAAACACTTCTGTCATAAGTTTAAAGATTAAAAGCTTTATTTGTTAATTGTTGGAAACAGATAAACCCATTCAGTCCTTTTCGCTCTATGTCATCTGACCTGGTTCACAAAAAAGTGAATAAGAGCTGCATCCACCTTTTACATCACATGACTGGAAAGAATGACTCCACACTCTTATCAATAGCATCAGCCACGGAACAAGTCAGGGGCTGGTGCCAATGACCGGGCCCTTCACGTGTATAGGTGGAAATGCTGAATGTGCCCCTCCATCCCCCCCCTCTCCCACCACCAGGACTACCCTATAGCTCCGCCCCTGAGTAGCATCTAATTATAGGTAAAGCTACCAGAGAGATGAGAGTGACAGTCATCCACAAAAAGTGGTGTTAGGGCTCCCCCTGTGGTGCTTCTTGTTAAAACTACTCATGATTACAGCAGTTTTTGATCAAAGTTTCTGCTTTCTTTCTAAAACAAAACTCAACTAATAAAATTGGAAAAGAAAATAAATTGTTGTAAATATTTTATTTCTCACCTGTTATGTAATTTGCATTTATGGATGTATTTGTGGAAGAATAAAACAAAAATATTTTCAGTTGAACCACATGATGGTGAAAATCTGGAGAAACAGGAAATCATAAACTATAACATGAACTGTTTTTAACAGAGTGTGTAACTATTGTATCGTCACCTTTTGTTCTGTGCACAACTTTTTGTAATGTTAATGTATTTTATATTTAAAACAAAAACATTAAGATATATCAAACATTCTACAGGTAGGATTACTTTGAATTGATGTCTGTGTTTATTTTTAAATCTAATCTAAAATATTAATGCAAAACCTATTTCTAATGGAGTTTAAATCTTTAGAATAGTCCCAAAGTTATTTCTTCTGTGGGCGGTTTCTGGTAAATCTAAATTTGTTGGTTGTGATCAAGAAAACTGTTGTTAGGGCCCCCCCTGTGGTGCTTCTTGGTAAGATTTTTCATGCTCTGTGAAGTTTTTGTTCAGTGTTTCTGCTTTCTGTGTCACTGTGGCTCTCGAGCGCAGTAATAAACAGCAGAATCTCCAGCTGTCAGGCTGTTCATCTGCAGATAAACTTGACTTCTGCTGTTGTCTCTGGAAACGATGAACCGGCCTCTTACTGAGTCAGAGTAGTACATGCCGCTGCTGTCATCCCAGATTAAAGCGATCCATTCTAGTCCTTTTCCAGCCGCCTGTCTGATCCAAGCTATATGAGGATCGCTACTAAACCCAGAATATGTGCAGGTCAGTCTGTGAGATTCTCCAGGCCTTTTAACCACTGATTCAGACTCAGTCAGTGTTTGACCATCAGAACCTGCAGAAAAACAGATAATTATTGATTGTCTCACCACCATCTCTTTTCATCAATCACAGTGTTGGTAAAAATAACATCTCTGTTCTTACCACTCCAGTTTGCAGACAAGACGATAACAGCAAGGAAAACCTTAAATCTAATCATTGTAGAAGACATTTGTCACCACTAATTCACTGCTGCTCTTAAAACTAACAGACACGTATAAATGGAGCTGTCAGCATTTGCATTGACTCCTCCTCTCGAAGTAGAAACACAAATTATCTGATCAAAAAAAGCAAAGTTGAACAATTATTTCAGATTATTTTCAGACATTTTCATATTTGAATTCATTTTTTAAAATTTTATGTGGATTCCTGTTTTACCAAAATATTTAAAGCTTTACAGCAGTTTTCACTTGTTTCTACTCAAACTGTCATATTCAGTTATTTTGAAATCATCGATAATGAAACTTGAACACAAATTGTTTAAAGAATTACATTTAATCTGATCTTTATGCGTTTGGGATCTTTTGGTGGATGTTTCACTCTTGTATTGCCACATGATGTTCGGTGCAGGACCCTACATTTTATTAAACACAATGTTTGCTTACTAAACATGTTTGTCTTTTTTTCCCTTGTGTTAAACATTAACCAGATGAGTTAGAGTTAATCATTAAATTATTGATGTTTTCCAGACAGACCATTAAAGGTAGTTGTATAGTTTAGGAAAAACAATTTTAACAACATTGGGGGTTTTAGAGTTTAGGATATAGTACATGTATCCTCCATATGTTTTATGTTTTCAGTCCTGCTTGTGTTGATTAAACCAAATAAGAAGAATATAATATTTGTATTATATCATTGTTGATGACAAAAAATTATGTTTTTCAGCCAACTGAATGTTTCTGATAAACCTGTTAGTGGAAGTTGAAACACATTATTTATATAAAATTATGTTTTAAGTCAATGTCACCTTGAATGTTGCGTTATAAATATAACAGTTTAAATTTTTTGAATCAGAATCAGCTTCATTCACCAACTCTGTGCTCACAAATGAGGAATGCGTTTGTTCATTTTAAATATAAACATATAAAAAGAGGAGACAAAAACTATATTTTTATTGTAAGTTTATTTTCTGCAATGTTTTTACAAAAGAGCAAAATAAGGTTGACAAAGTTTCCAGAGATTAAAAGTGAACTGAAAGTTCCTCCTTTGGTGGTTTGATATCATCTGTTCATGTTCTGAGGGGTTTTTGTTCGGCTCTGCAGATGGTTTGTGTCACTGTGAGTCTCTGGCACAGTAATACACAGCAGAGTCTCCAGGCTGCATATTCTGTCCATTCAGAGTCACTGTTTTACTGGAAGTGTCTAAGTCGATACTGAATTTGGTCCTCAGTGAATCTTTGTAGCTAGAACCTCCAGTATGTTTCCACCCAATCCACTCCAGTCCTTTCCCTGCAGGCTGTCTGATCCAAGCTGTTGCATAGCTGCTCAGAGAATAAGAGACCTGACATCTGATGGTCAGACGTTGACCTGGCTGAAGAGTCTCAGAGGCTGGTTGTGTCAGCTGTTCACACTTTATACCTGTAGAGAAACACATTAAAAGTGTATTGTTACCAACAACTAATTCAATTTACTGTCATCATGCTGTAAATGTTTCTGTCTCAGTGAGACTCACAGGATGCAGCCAGCAGCAGCAGCAGAGCTACAGAGAACATGATGATGATGATGATGATGATCTGATGGGAGTTTCTCCTCCTCTGCAGCTGACAGCGTCAGATCAACACTTTATAACATGATTCTTTTCATTTGCATAATACCAAACCAGCCCCACCGGAATCACATGATAAAAATACGTTTTATGTGCTGTGGACCAGCATTAAGAAATAATATGTGTC